CATCTGAACGTGTGTTGGCGTCAGTGCCACATGGGTGCGTGCTAATGCAACATACGCAAGGCTTTCAAGGCTGCGTGTGGCATGTCGCTGATTCCCCGGCTGCCAGACCCTGCGCTGAGCCCTGCATTACCGTGGTTTGGCAGCTGCATGCATCAAACGCATGTCGCGCGTTCCCACCGGCTTCCGTCGGGCGCAGTCAGTAGCAAGATGATTCCTGACCTCAATTCTCCTACACACCCGCAGCTCTACTGGCTGGACCACGCCAAGACTGAGAAGCACCGCGCCATCGTGCTGGCGGAGGAGGCGGCCAAGGCGGCCAGGGCGGCGCACGCGCAGCAGGCGGGTGGCAACAGGGGCGGTGGTGGCAACAGGGGCGGCGGCGGCGGCAGGGGCCGCGGCGGCCGCAGGGCGCATGGCGGTGGCAGGGCGCATGGCGGCGGCAGGGCGCATGGCGGTGGCAGGGGGCGCGGCGGCCGCCTTCACCACTGAAGGGCACAGTCGGGCTTTTTAGCCAGACGCCGAGGGCTGCCTGGCACACTGGCGCTCGAGCTGGCCAGTGCGTAGGGAAACAGCGGTTGCTGCACCCATGCAGGCGTGCTGAGGAGGGACTGCAGGTGGCCACCCCAAGGGGTGCGGGAGTCGCATGATCGAGCGCTTCTTGCTCATTCGCAGTCATCCCTTGGTGACTTCAGACCCTTTCATGAACTTCAATCGCAGTTGCAAATCCTCTTGAGCATCGTTTGGTAACTCGGTTTTGTTTCAAGATCAAGGGCTGTACGTCCTTGCCAGGTTTTCCCTCAACAAAACTGGTGACCTCAGCAGTTGTGTTCACCACCGGGACAGCGTGTCCTTTTGCACACGATGAAGCGCAACCGCTCCGCTGTGAAAGCACGCTGCCGACAGCAACGCGATGCGGTTGTTACAGCAGGCGGATTTCTGCCCAGTAGGGCCGTCTGACAGCTGACACAAGAAAGCACACGCACAGCATGAGCAAAACAAACGGGCACAACACAACATCTTGCTGGCTCCATCCTTTTCCTCTGCACCGTCGTCCCTGCTAGGTATGGTATCCGCACTCTGCAGTCTTCCGGTGTACCTCAACCCCTACATACCCCGCGCTGCCCCGCCGCTGACACTCGTCCAAACAAACACACCTCTCATGCTGCCGCGCCACTCTCCTCTCGACGTCCGGGGGGTAGGGTCGGCCGCGCCGCACCACCTGCACCACACGCTGGGCGCCGGCCACAGGAGCCTGGCCGATCACTCAGGGTGCTGCAGTGAGCCTGGCGCGCAGGCCCTGCGTCGCCAGCGCCACGGCCCTCAGGGCGCCAGCCCTGGCCTCGACCGAGGGCGTCTCGCTGCCAGACAGCAGCACAGCAGCCCACTTCAGCAGCAGCTTCACGTCGTGGAAGTTGTCCGGCAGCGCGACCTGCACCTCGCCTGGAGGGTTGGCCCACTCTGCCGAGCGCCGGCTGATGCGCTCCTGCAGCGCCTCCCCTTGCGCCACAGTAAACTGCGCAGCGTGGGACAGCGAGGGGGGGGAGGGGCTTCACAAATGTTTATGGGTATTCGCTCAAGGGCTGCTTTTTGTCAATCGCTGCACCAGGGAGCAGATTGAGCAGATTGCGCCCTGCGTGCACGCAAGGCCCTTACAAGCGGCGCCGGCGCTTTGCAGCTGCACCTCCTCAGCTAGCCGTGCAGACCTTAACATTGAAACGCAGCCTTGACTGCAGCCCCTTATCCAGCCCGCACCACCAGCCCCATCTCCCTGCCGCCTGGCCGCACCGCGCTGTTGCACACACGCGCACCTCTCCGGGGAACTCGCGCCAGGGCGCTTCGGGCACCAGGTGGCGCGCAAAGTCCACTGCCGTGGCGAAGCGGGCGCCGTCGACGGGGTCGATGACGCGCGGCGGGACGCCGTCCAGCATGCGCTGCCTTATCTCGTGAAGCGGGTCGGGCGGCTCCTTTGGGAGAAGAGGCAAAACAAGAGGTTTCGGGCGGTGGGGGCGCGCATGGATGAGTGAGCTGGATGCTGCTGCCGTGGATTGAGGTATTCCATCAGGCAGTTTTTTTGGGGTGTGTCGAGGCAGCTTCGGGCATGAAGTCAAAAAGGTGTTAAAGGAGCGGCTTAGTGCATGTTCACGCTATGTGGATCACAGGGCTGGCTCGCAGCCATCTTTGCTACACAGGATTGAAGCAATGGTCAGCCGTAAATTGCGAAGCCAGTGGATAGGCAGCCTGAGGCCCCCAGTGCGGTTGCGCAGCGATGCAGCTGTGCAAGCCAGCGCAGTCATACAAGGCCACTTTCGGCAATGGCTGTCCCCTGCATCACATGGCCTCCCCGCCTACCTCCCTGCTCAGGCGGTTGCCGCGCAGCGCGTCCTCCCACATCTCCTTGAGCTGGTGGGGCAATGCGCATGCACATCAGGATGATGCGCGGGGTGCAGCATTGTGTATTCAGCGAGAAAATCAAGGTGTACCTTGAGGCTGCTTGACTACGTAGATGAGCAGCATCTGCAGCACTTGGCCATCACTTGCTTGGCCTAGCAATCACAGCTGCTGACGAGCACAGCAAGGCATGACAAGGCTGTCCGGAGGTGCACGCAAGACCACTGGTTGCTGCCTGTTGCATGCGCACGCAGGCAACCTGGCTCCAACCGCCGGTGCGGCGCAGGGGCACGGCCACGCGCGCAGTCGGCAGCCCACACACCTCCTGCAGGTAGCAGCGCTTGACGTTTCGAAACTGGGCCCCGGCGCCGTCCACCAGCACGCGCCGAACGGCAGCCGCGTCGGGCTCGGGCCGCCCCCTGTACAGCTCCAGCGTTTTGAGGTCGATCATCCACAGGCGCGCCTCCTGAGGCGCACGGGCAGCAAGCGGGGGTGCGGCGGCCGCGCGGGGTCGGCTGATGGATCATGCAATGGGAGCGAGGGGACGTATTGCTGCCTCAAGCCGGAGAGACTCCGGCCCCGCCCAGATGCACGCGCGATCGCGCTCGCAGGCGAGGTGTCCCTAGCGCGTGGAATGGAAGGCCAGCGGAGGCCGCTGCAGGCGCAAGCGCCCACGGCAATGGGCTATCTGGGCTGTCTTCCTTGCTTGAGTCTGCTGCTAGGACCCCCCCTGCCTCGCCGTAATCTGCTTCCGGTGGGTGCACCTGCTCGGGCTTGGCCACCGCGGTGCCCTCCGGGACCGGCTCGAAAAAATCACCAAGCACACCAAACAGCGACGAGGCAGCAACAGGGTCGGTGATGGTGTAAACTTTCCAGTCCCTGGGGGACTTGCTGGGGTTCACGATGGCCACCGCCTGGACAAGACATATTTTGCAGATAGCGGGCAGGTGGGGGGGGGCGTTTGCGGGGTGCATTTGCTGGGTCTATGAGCAAGATGCATGGTACGCCAGGCAGCTTGAAATCAATTCATGATGTGGTCCCGGGCGTCTGAGTTTGTGAGGGAGACAGGCGATTCAGAAATTCCTGGAGCAAGGCAGAAGCGATCCAGCATGGCGTTTTGCAGCCAGCTGCTGCGGTCTGCAGGTTGGCTGGCGATGGCAGCAAGCGCTCAGGTCGGGGCTGCGCCGCCCGCTTCGCACCCTGTTCTTGATAGTCGCCATCTGTCTATGGCCGCCTCACGTTCTGCTACAATACATGGCACGCAAGGTCAGTTTTGACATGGCAGGTGTCAGTTGAGCGCGTATCACGATGATGGCCCCTCCCCGCCGCTCGCTGCTTGAGGGGCCCTTGTGGAGGCCCGATGCCTGCGGCAGTGGCCAGTAACTGGAGAAGACAGGGTTCACGCGAAGCCGCCCCTCCGCGAGGCCTGCCCAAGACGCCAGGAACGCCTGTGCCGCGGTCCCAGATCGCGCGAGAAAGGAATCACAAAGATGCAGGCACAGAAAGGTCGCAAAAATCAGCACAAACTATTTGTCGCTGAAGCCGCTGCAAGATGCCGTTGGGCCTTCCAGCTACGTGCATGTTGGCGTCGCCGAGACACCAGCCTCCGGGGCGTCGTGAGTGTGGGAAACGTCAATCACGGCCCAGCGCCTGCATACCCCAAGGACGTGCCAAAGATGGTAGCAGACTTGTGTGTGGGGCGGTGACAGGCAGCCGTCGCAGCGCCACTGCGACGCGTCTGTGCTCGCGCCGTCTGTGTGGGCGGCATCCGGGACAGGGGCCGGGCGGTGAGACCCCGCGTGGTCGGGTTGCACGGGGGTTGTTATTATAGAGAGTGGGCCATTGGTGGCCGCAGATGATGAAGACACAGCAGATGACGGTGCGATGATGTAAGATTACACGCATTTGTACAGCGCATCGTTCCTCCAGGGCAGGCTGCTCTCATTGCCCCCATGGTTGCGCACTGAATCCTGCGTTGCAGCGGCCCCCCCGCAGACCCCGCCTTCACCTCAGAGCGCATTGGACAAGGTGGGGAGCCCATGCCTTTACACTGTACAGGACTTGTTCAGTGCACGGGTAGCACTGATGATTACGATTTTTTCAGATGCTTTGGCCGTACAACCGCGGCTTGACCTGTCAGGCGAAGAGGAGTTGCTGACACCTTTGTTTCACTTTGTATGTCCCCTGCTCTCGTGTATGCATACGCTGCAGGGCAAGCCTCAGATGACCCACGTCGAGCGGCCTAGCGCTATGCGGGCTGAGCTTGCGCGCCTGACGGACTCGAGCGATTATGGTGGCTGGCGTGGAGAGCGACAAGGAGCCGAGGGGGGGTCGTACAAAGGGAGGGGGCGGGCGAGGTGATTGAGCGCCAGCTGCCTGCCTACATTTGCGCAGGTCTTGGCATCATTTTCGCATGGGCTGGTACCAACGCCATGCACGCACGGGTTTCAAGGCTGCGTGTGGCATGTAGCTGGATCAGCAACTGCCATGACCTGCCCCGCGCCGCGTGCGAACCAGATTTAGCGGCTGCATCCATCAGCCTTGATACACGCGCTCCCACGGGCGACCGCCGGGGACACTGCTGTAACAATCCTCCAGCTGAGCCTCATCCTCCCACGCGCCCGCAGCTCTACTGGCTGGACCGCGCCAAGACTGAGAGGCACCGCGCCATCGTCCGGCGGAGGCGGCGGCGAAGGCGGCTAAGGCCGCACACGCGCAGCGGGCGGGTGGCAACAGGGGCGGTGGCGGTGGCAGGGGCCGCCGCGGCGGCAGGGCGCACGGTGGCCGTCGCCACCACTGGAGGGAACAGAGTGTTTTGCCAGATGCAGTGGGCTGCCTGGGCACAGGCGCTTGAGTTGGCCAGCGCGCAAGGGAATCGCGGTTGCTGCACTGACGCATGCAGGCGTGCCATGTTGGGAGGGGCTGTAGGTGGCCACCCCATGGGGTGAGGGAGTTGCATGATTGAGCGCTTCATGCTCATTCGCAGTCTTGGTAATTTCAAGACTCTTTCATGGACTTTCATCACAGTTGCAAATCACCTTGAGCATGGTGTTGTTTTGTACCTCAATTTTATCTCCAGGTTCAAGGGCTGCCCTTGCTGGGTTCTCTCCCTCAAAGATGCTGATTACCTCAGTGACTGTGTTCACCGGCGGGATACATAGGGTGTCGTGTGACACGCGATGAAGCTCAACCGTTCTGCTGTGAAGGCACCCTGCCGACAGCAAGGCAATTCGATTGTTGCAACAGGCAGCAGGCAGGTGGCTGCCCAGTAGGGCCGCCCGACACAAGAAATCGCACACAGCATGAGCAAAGCATGCGAGCACAGCACCACACCTTGCTTGGCTCCATCGATCCCTTTCTCACAGCCCGTCATCCTGTCATAGATCGTACCGACACTTCCAAGTCTTCTGGTGTACCCCAGATCCCATGCATACTCGGCGGTGCCCCGGTGCTTATCAACCAAACAAACCTCTCTTACTGTCCCTCCGCTCACCTCCCAAGGTCCAAGTGTTGGGGTGCACCGTCCTGCTGCAAGTGCATCCGGTAGGCTGCTGCCGGCGGCACATACATGCGCTTGTAGTGCGAGCAGCTGCTAGGTAGCCAGCATAGGAGCAGCATTATTTACCTACGCTCATGCATAAAACCGGTATGTGTCTTCTTGTTTTTACGGTTTGTGTGTATCATGATGATGATGATGAATGATTCGTAAGATCACTATGTTTGACTCGTCCAGCTCACGCACACAGAAGACGTTTTGGCAAGACCCTTCGAGCTCGTCTGACGGAGTGCGATTTGGGCCTTGAAAAGAGGCGCCTGGTGTTTTCTCCTGACCCTGGCAGCGGGTCAGGCATCGTCTGAGGCGATATGGGTGCTGCGAGGACATGGCTCCGAGCTGATGCAGCACTGCCGCTGCTGGCAGAGCGTCGCAGGCAGGCGTTGGCAGCCGTGGGCACCTCAGATCTCAGCACGTGCGTTGGATAAGGGGTAGCAGGGGGTTGGCAGTCGCCTGCAGGGCACGTGGGGGTCGCTCCCAGCACTGCCGTGCGCCCTCTCTCCGCGAGAGGCCGATCGACAGCGTGCGCTTCGCTCGCTTGCGCGCCGCGGGTGCTGCACTTGCCGTCTCTGCTGTGAGTAACCGCCTCGTGTGTGGTACTCTGCGCAGCCGCCCCGCCCACTCGTTACCGTGCCTCTGCGCTCCCCCCTCCGCCCGGGCCCCCTTGCGTAGGGCCCTGGCTGACAGGGGGTCGGGCCCTGTCATGTTCACGAGGGGCTTGGTGCGCATCGAGAAGCCGGTCTTCCGTGGTTGCGAGCATGTGATTGTGAAGCACGTGATGATGACAAACCCAAGGGACACACGCTGGCGTCAGGTGCGCGGGGTGCGGCTCGAGGGCAGGGCTACAGCCGGGTATGTTTGTGCCCCTGTCGCTGGTGCTGCTCTCCTCCTTACCCCGTGCTCTTGGGCCCCTCCCGGGCCTTCCTCAACCTCGCAGGCCCTGAATGAGGCGCTGGTGGCGCCCATGCTGGCGGGCCACAACACCCTGGTGCCTGCGATCGCCTGGAGCCACACCAACAGCGGCATCGCCCTCGCGTCCTTCCGCCCCGGCGACGACAGCGTGCGCACGTGCTTTTGCAAGCTGGAAGACGCCTGCGAGGCGGCGGGCCTCAGCCCAGAAGAGACCATGGCGGCGCGAGTGCACCAGGCCGGCGCCATGGTGCCCAACATGCTCAAGGCACTGCACGACCTGCACAGCTCGGTGAGACGCACCACGCAGGGTGGGGGCGGGGGACAAGGGGGGAGGGCGCGGATGACATCTTGACTGCGGCGTGCAGCCTGCACGCCCCTTGTGGTGGTGGCTGGGCTGCGGGGGCCGCGAGCCTCCACAACTTTTGGTCGGGCGGGACGAGGCGCCTCACCTTGTGAGGCCCCGACACAGGACACTTAGCTTGGCTCTCCTTGCCGTCGCCTCGCCTCTGTTTCCCCCTCACTCGGCTGGCCCAACCTGCGATGTCTGCCCAGCCCATCATGTTATGCTCCGACCTCCCGCGGTCCCGCCATCCTCCCCACACAGGGCTTCATCCACCGCGACGGCAAGGCGGACAACTGGGTGGTGGACGCGGCCAACCCCCTGCGCCCCCTGCTCATCGACTTTGGCCTCGCGCAGCGCATCAGCGACGGCCTGGGCGCCACAAACGGCTACACACCCACCCACGCGCCCCCAGAGCACTTGGCGGCGCTGGACGCGGCGGGCCTGCTGGAGTGGCGCTTCGACCGGGAGCTCAAGCGCGGCAAGACTCGGGAGCGCGGGGTGCTGCCTGTGGGGGGTATGACGGAGCTGCTGCACAAGGCGCTGGGCCCCGCCACTGACATCTACCTGCTGGGGGCGACGCTGTGGGAGGTGGGT